CGATAATTTAGCACCATTCAAACTACTTTGGAAGTCTATATGCACATGACAACAACATAACGTAATTTTACGCTACCATTAAACTATTCTGAGCTAGACGCATATTTCAGCAAAGGGCAAGGGGTGGTGACGTGGTTGGATTCCTCTTTGGTTTTTTCAGGCCCTTTCCTTGAGCACTGCCGACAGGCCTTGCCGTGGGTGTACAGTAGACAGTTCAGGTCAAATTTCAGTTCGTTTGGGATTCGTTGATTGAGATGGAGATAAGCTTTTCTTACATTTGCCTCTGTCGGAACCCAACCAACCGTCTTGGCAATCTGAAAAACCTGTTCAAGAAACCTCTCTTGGATATTAATCAGGCATCAACCGTTTCCACAAAACAGACAGTAAATAGAAGTAAGTGAGTACATAAATAAACCACGCTTACGTGTGTGTCTACTGGGAAATCATCTTTCTGTAGATGAAACATCAGCACGCAAGCCACCTGCAGTCCATCAAAAGCTATCAAGACATAATGTGGGCAAAACCCCTGAAATTAGTTCAGATCCTTACGTATGAGACATGGTTTTGGGTCATTTTTTGTCGTGTACAAAGTATATATTAGCCTTCACTTATATAATTACGTTCACTTGAAACTGCCAACAAACAATTAAATGCTCCATATGCTGCCCCATGTCAAAAGCTAGAGTTATACAGTGCATAACATTGGAGAAGAAAATGGCAAGAGATGCATCGGTTATCAAGATCAATTCGAAAACAACAAATTGAACTTATACGTTTGCAACTGTAAAAGTGTCACTAGTTCCTCAATGCTAACTTTTTGACTCATTTTCTGTACATGCCATTGTACAGTATAACAGCTCTTATGGCAGGAGCCTAAATTATTTTCGCAACAGCAGATTCCTAATTGCCATTATGACTAAGTTATGATCACCTAATTCTAATGCTTATTACCTATTCTTATTTTCATCGACACAAAACAAAAATCACATCAGCCAAAACCAAGATTGACCAGGAACCAAATCAGGCTACACTAGATGTTACTCTCTCCGTCCCAAAAAAAATCTTCTCGCTTTCCTTTTTGGATGTTCCAAAACGATTTTCCCATTCCTTTAAGGAAAGAATTGTGATTCATATTGTTTCTCCCCTCTTCTGCATAAACTTCAACCATACAATTTCACTATTCTTAAACTTTGTGCTAACCTTGAACCCTTGACTATCTTACACAACCAAATATGCATTGACTAGTTGGGCAAGCGCCACGTGACTACACCATGTTCGATATCAATATAAAATGCCTCCTAGAAATTCTAGAAGTGATAAAAGAAATTGAAACTGTTTTACCATTATAGAGATTAGACTGAATGAATTATGTCAAAAAACAGTGACAAATCCAGCCTGTTATAAGCCCTACTAAAACCTAGTGTAATTCTTCATTAACGACAAACAAGGCAATCAATTACTAAATTAACCCAGAGGAGAGTAAGGAGCTGAATTAACTTCATCAAATCATAGGGGCTTGAAAACACAAGTAAAGTCTGAATGACAGTTGTTTACCGTTTTCGGTCCAACTCCACCAAAATATGAAAGCTCTCTCTTAATTTCGTCAATAGACATATCCCTAAGGTATTCCAGGCAAATCTTCCCTTTTTTCTCAAGCAACCAACTCAAGATGTCCTTAATGCATGCAGTTTTGCTTGGTGCAAGGCCCCCACATTTTATAGCTTCTTCGACTAACTTCGACTTAGCAGCATGAACCTTGCATGTTTTCAAGAGTCAAGACAAGCAAACGGAAAATGTTGATCCAAGAAAACTCAATCTATCTCACAGGAAATATAAGTACTTCATTAACCATAACTTGAGGCCGTCCACTGCCACACACTAATACAGTACTATTTGAACACAAATTGTGGCTAAAAATGTTAACTTCTCTTCAGAAAACTGCAGAAGTACTTGTGTTGATAATCGGGAAGAAACGCATCTAGATGCCATTCCACAGCTAACTCAAAGAGAGACTATTATTCAACTCAAAATAAATGGAAACCTAAAGAGGATAAGCTTCACATAAATGCATGGATGCAAATTGTGTTGGGTATCAAACCCCTCCACACCGTACGGAAAAGAGAAAGAGAACCAATATTTATTGGTTACCCCAACCCCATTAGTATGAGGCTTTTTGGGAGATGCCCAAAAATAAGCTCGTGAGAGTTTGACCCAGAGCTGATAATATCATACTAATGTAGGGTTGGGGCGAGGGCACGCGCGGTCCCAACATGTGGTATCAGAGCCCAGGTCTTGGCCCTTTGTTGAGGGGAGGTTCGTTGGGATTCGTCCAAGTCTCACACCGGAAGTTTAGGAGTAAATGTACCAAAATATATAGGTCACCCAACCTCATTAGTATGAGACCTTTTGGGAGGTGTCCAAAAACAAATCCGTGAGAGCTTGACCCAAAGCCGACAATATCATATTAATGTGGGATTGGGGTGAGGGAACGCATGGCCCCAACATGTGGTATCTCAACCTAGGTTCAGAGGGCGGAGTAGTGGACGTACGTGTGCGGAGTTCTTAGAGCGACAACGGCCAACATGGGGAAGGACCTACAAGATCCGTAGAGGGTCCGGGTGTTGTGCAGGAGTGCCCGGTCGAACGGTGTGTCAATAGGAGCAGGTGGATGATGCCTTATGTCGTGTGGAGTTCACACGAGGGACAGTGTGCCAACCGAACAGGACTGAAAGATGTGCAGATGGTGCCTTGTGTTGTGCGAAGTACGGTGTGTCAAATTAGAACAAGAAGAAATCTCTAGGCTAGCGGGGTAAAAGGTCTGCAGGAATGCCTTGAGTGGAAAGTCTTCTCGACAGAGACGGGTGGCCGGGCGGCGTGTCCTGCGGGTTGTTGTGGCGGTACAAGAAGATGGCAAATCAGAAACGGATAATCGCTGATCAAGTGGTCTGGGTTTGAGGGGAGGTTTGTTGAGTATCAAACCCCTCCCACACCGTATGGAAAAGAGAAAGAGAACCAATATTCAATGGTTACCCCAACCTAAACCTATGAGGCCTTATGGGAGATGCCCAAAAATAAATCCTTGCGGACTTGGCCCAGAGCGGACAATATCATACTAATGCAAGGTTGGGGCAAGGGCACGCGATGTTCCAACAAATTGCTCTGAACTATAATTAGGTCAAAATGTAACCCTAATTTTTCAATATTTCAAAGCACAACACAAATAAAATAAGACAATTAAAGCCATTGCTCCACAGATTAGGAACATTTTCGTCAGATAAGAGCATACATACATCTTCCCAGGTGGGGAAAGACGACTTGAGAGAGGTGAAAGCCCTACGAGAGTTAACTTCCGAGGTGTTCTGCGATAAAATGGCACCCACTAAACCATCCAGTATACTTTCATGGCCGCTATCGTTGCCTTCTTCACCGGACTGCTCGGAATTGGAGAGGTTCAGGTCAAGAGTGGGGAGTTTCTGGTTCAGGAGTAGCCTTCGATTGCGATAGCTGAGAAAGTCTTTGGGAAATCCATGGAGGGCCAAGAGGTCATCCCGCACAGATCGGCAATCTTCTGCAGTGGGTTTGGGGAAATCCAGATACGGGTAGCTGTCCCGAACCGCGGCGCCATTGGTGAGTTTCCGCCCCTTGCGAGACATGGTCGGAGAAAGGGAGAAGTGTTTCCCCTTTCAGGGCTTCCTTCTTCGGATTCTAACAAACTCGCACGCCAACATGAGGCTCGTGCTGCCGCAAAAAAAAGGAAAGGAATTTTCCTTTATGTAGGCCGTCCAAGTTCCAACCATGACATTTTATAGAAGTTGTTGGTTAAAACTTAAAAAGACTTCAATCCAAAAGGAAATTTCCTTTTTGTAGGTGGAAAACTCTCTCTTACCCACTAAATAAATGATTAAATAAATGAACTTTTAGGTAGACGGCTTTTTTTATATGATATCAGAGTCTTGGCTCTTAGTGACATACTCCGTAATACTCTCTGCTTTAGCTGTCGTTAGTGATTCATCTAGTGACATTGGTCTCATTCCAACTTGTTTCTTCAATGAATCCGACATGCTCCTCCGTTTGGTTCCGGATCAATCACTGCCACTTCTTGTCTTAGATCATATCGTCACCTCAACCTGCTTAGTCGGCAGGTTTTTAGTCAACTAGAATCTATGGCAGCACCTCTCTTCTGCTTCTTCTATAAACCTGTCGCGCACGACTCCAAGGCACATCAATGTTCTCCCATATTTGACGCCAGTAGTAGGAATTTGTCCGCAGCAGCTCTTCTCTCATCCTTTCTAGTGCTGGCGCATCTCTTTCCCAGCAATCTTTCTTCGTGTCTTCTCTTCTTGTACGGATGCATTTAGTGTACTCTAACCAAAGATATCTCTCTAGCTTATGATTGCGATTCTAGTCATGATTCAATTTAAAGTTGTTGTTTAATCTTTATTGTCCAGGACGTTGGAACATGTTAAATACGAGTATATTAATTATTTAATATATTTAATATTATATATTATAACTATGGTTGTTACCTATAATACTTAAAGTAATTATTATAATATCGTCATTAATTATAGTAATTATTATAATATCGTCATATCGTCACCTCAACCTGCTTAGTCGGCAGATTATTATATATTATAACTATGGTTGTTATCTATAATAGTTAGTCATTAATGTAGAAAATTCTAGAATGTATGCATTCACTTATAAATACATACCTTGTATTCCTCTCTTATTCATTCAACAATATATCACAATAATATTATTGATTAAATTGTAATTTAAATAAATGAAATTTTATGATGAAATTACGGAGAGACGAAAGATATAATATAAGCTACTCATTTCTTTCCTCAAATGAAATGAGATATTTATTTTAAAATAAATCAAAAACAGGCATGACATTTCATGCTCTCCGTTCAAGTTATTCATTTTTGAGGGAAAAAATCCAACAAAAAAAAGCTTTCATTACATAGAAGCACTGCTATTTAATAGCACAAAGATAGGTAACATAAAGTTTCTTAAACCACTTCACAAAATATTTATGAAGTTTTATTTCACTCTATGAGAATGCTTAATTATTTTGTGCAATCCAATAATAATGCTTCTTTCAAAAGCAAGTCCTTCTTAATTTTGCTTCTTCAAATTGGATTAGCTTTGTCTTGTTTCAAATACCCTATAATCTAAGATTTGAATCAAATGACCAAGAGCACAGTGTATGGTTCTCCCAAAGAAGTCCAGTTGCAGAAGACAACCCAAACTGGACCTTATCTGGCAAGACCTCCTTCAAATTAATTCCATGGGAATAGCTTTGCTTGATCTCATTCCCATCTTTGTACTCATCAAACACCACATTCAACTGATAGAAGCTAGAATTGTATGTGATCTCGACGCAGATCTTCCTCCCATCTTTGACGCTGTACCACTCGGTCGTGTACGGGGTCCACATTGCGTTCACGTCGACCCCGACGTGATCGTAAGGCGGATCGTCCTCGTTCGGGAACGTGTCGAACTCCACTGCCACAAACGGGTGCTCTCGAGTGTAATTCGGGTTATCCGCTACCTGTTTCCGGCCCACCAGACCGATCCCAGAGCCGTCTGGTGGGACCGGGAGCGAAAAGTTGGGGTGGGCCAGAAAGAAGGTGACGCCATCTCCGTGGTGGTTCGGGTCCGGTGAATCAATGGCGAAGGTGAAGTGAGTTGTGAAGTCTGCAGTTTTTCCTGCGTTTTTGTCCTAGAGTTGTAACAGTTTATTGTATGTCACTCTTCCTGCACTGTCTTTCCTATATCTGAGGAATAGAGTCAATTCAAAATGTAAGAGATTCAAACTTTGACACCATATTTGACACCAATACACCATTATGTCTTCTAAACACGTAAAGTCAGATATTCACTATAATTATTGGATTAAGCTATGTGTACTCCAAGATTTGTATCCCAACTTATACTCTGCAGATTTGCACTTTCATTTTGTATCAGTGTAATGTTAGGGTGATAGTTCACATACACAAAATATTAGTACAAATTATTATTATTCACACACCAGCATTTTGTGTCAGTGTGAACAATAAAAATAGTAGTGTATACATTTGGTGTAATTTTGGAGTACAATTTTTGGTGTAAGTGTAGCATGATCCATAATTATTATGTGTATTTGCAAGACTCCCGGTGATAAACTTGGTGCGATGGGTGGTGTCACTTTAGGGAGTCTCGTAAGTATAAGAGCATAATAGATAGAAATTTATATATTTAATCTTTTTCTTATATATTGCTTAAAATAAACTTATTATAGATTCAGACATCATGTGATCTAAGAGACTAAGGTCATAACTCATAATCTAATTTAGGCTCAGTTTGGGAACCGTATTTGTAATAAGTGTTAGAATTTTGGATAATAATCTTTAGGCATGCATATACTCGTTTTAACACGCTAAAACTAAAAATTATCCTTGATATAGTTTTTTTACTTAAGCTAAATTCTAACACTCATGCCAAAGAGGTTTTAAACCTTCCCAAACATGCTCTAATGACTCAGTTCTTGTTTTTTCTAATGTCAAGTGTACATATTATGATTGGCAATGTTATGTTATATATTTTAGTGTAATTGGAAAAACTATGACCAATGGTATCCTAATAATCATCAACGAAGTTTGGTGGTGCGGAGTGCACGCTTCATTGAGTTTGTTACGATAAAAATCTCGTTACATCGGGGGTTCCAAGGGGGCAGCGCCCCCGAGTAGGGTTCAAGGGGCGGCAGCCCCTGCGGGGTCCAAGGGGCAGAGCCCCTGGCTGGGCGCTATGTTAAAAAATTCAATTGAAATTTTAATTTTCGGATTTTCTTTAAAAGAAAACCTCCGATTGGATAGCATCGAATTTCGGAGAACTTCCGCGCGAAGGATCGCGTAACTTGGGAAAGAGACGCGATAGGCGTCTTCTCCCTCTGCCGCAAGTTTATAAATTCCTGCAAGCCTTGGTCGGATTTGAGTTCGGATTTTTTATAGCAATCCTCATATTTCGTTCTTGATACTTTCGAGTTTTATCCGATTGAATTTTGGAGTGAACAACCAAAATATTTAATCTGAAAGTGTTTACACAACTCTCGATTCATCCAAGTTATCATTAATTTCCCCAACATGTTATGTTTGGCAAGAAGACTTAAATAGGTGAAATATCACACAACCTTTATTTTTAATAAGAAAAATGATAGGGGTACACCAAAGGTATACCTCATACCTCATTTATCCCCCACTCCCTCCATTACCACAAAAATGGGCAAAAAACTAAAAAAAAATAAATAAATAAAAATGGGATAAAAATGAGTAGTGGAGAAAGGGGTGGGGAAGAAATGTAGTACACCTCTGAAAGGCGTACCCCTAGCATTGCTCTTTTAATAATTGTAACGTCACTCCGTCAAGGGCAAATAAGGTAATATTATCACATTTGTCCAAAAAATTTACCTCCCCTTCTCTCCTTTAAACTCTTTCCATTTTAACTTAGGGCCAAAATAAGAAAGTTTAATTCTGGATGACTTTCCAATTTTGCCAATGATATGATGAGTAAAAGTAAAATGTGATAGTTTGGTTATGAGTGAAAAAGTATGATGTGATAGATAGAGTATGGAAGGCAGGGAGTAATATTTTCTGTGCGAAAAATCGGGCGAGACAGAGAGAAGAATAATCACCGGGTGAGTTGGAGGAGCATATTCTGGTCATGGAATACATCTCCATCAAACTTCAAGTCTTCTTCATAGCTCATCATCTCAGGAAACTTTGTGTAGTTAAAGTGTATTATTGATGAGGCTGCACCGCCATGGATCTGATGAAGCGCCGACAAGACTACCATTATTTTGGTTACGAGTAAACCAGCAGGAAGATAAACTTGATGACTTTTCCTCGTCTTTTCAGGCACATCATCCATAGCTACACTAATAAGGCTTTTTCTGGCAGGGATTTATTACTAGGAAAATATTGAACCCCAAATTGCTTGCTTGCTTGCTTTATATTGTGGGCCAATGGGGTAGAATTTCCCATTCTTTTCAAATCAAACTCGACCGATTTAGAAAATTCATTAAATAAAATGTTTTAATATATATATGTTGCTATAAAAATAATTTCATTAGATTTAATTCGTTGAGAATTTTCAAAATCTTATATCATTATATTAATATATTCTCTCCGTCCCTTAAACTCATTCTCCTTATCTATTAAAAACCCACTTTGACCCCTTATTTTTTTCATACCCTACTGATACAATTTGATAATAACTTATCTTATTTAATATTGAGAGATATGACCTTATATATAGGGAATACAAGAGTAATCAAAGTACAAGTAGGAAAGGAAAGAATAATCCTAGTAGGAAAGGAAAGAAGTATCCTAATTTAATTATACTTCCTAATATCCCCCCGCAAGCTGATCAACGGAGACGAGGGGCAGCTTGGAACATAAGTACTCAAAAGGAACTGGTGGAAGCGGTTTGGTAAGAATGTCTGCTAGCTGCTCTGAGGAGGAAACATGATGTGGAGTCATAGTGCCTGCCATAACCTCATCTCGTACAAAGTGACAGTCTATGCCCACATGCTTCATGCGATCATGAAGAACCGGATTTTTGGTGACACAGATAGTCGACTCATTGTCACAGTATAACTTCGGTTTGGACGGAGGAATACCCAGTGCATCAGTGATATATCGAAGCCACATAGCTTCTGCAACCCCTGCAGCCATAGCTCGATATTCAGCTTCAGTGGATGATCTAGAAACACGAGTCTGCTTTTTCGTGCACCAAGAGATGATATTAGGACCGAGTAGGAGTATGTAGCCCGTGGTAGACTTGCGATCATCTTTATCATTGGCCCAGTCAGAGTCAGAGTAGACAGATAGGTCGAATCCCCCCTTGCGAAAAAGAAGACCATGATTCAAAGTGCCTTTGAGATAGCG